GGCCTCGATGTCTTACAATATATTGACCCTTGACCATTTATACCCAAGGCCCCAATAGTTCTTCTTTCGAAAGACTCCTCGCATTAACCCCGACCATTTATACCCGAGGCCTCGATACCCAATTAGTGACGTATCAGCCCTCGGCCATTTATACCCGAGGCCCTAACACTCACCCATTCACTTCGTAACTTTCATAACTCCACATATCATTTCTAGCCTCCAACCAGGATTTCAGTACTACTTCCCTAATAACACCAACCACCACAACGCTCATCACGACACAACCACTAGTATGATTTCAATGCATCACAAATCTTAAAAACACAAAGTTTGACAACAACCAACCTGCTCACAACATAGCGTACACAAAGCTTCAACAAACAACGCTATGACATTCTTCACATAACATGCTTTTCACAACATAACAAATCCTAATCATTTCCAACCATACAATATCAGTAAGTTCCTAAAGTTACAGACAACAAACATGAATACCAGTCATATACATATCCGATATATAAAATAACCGCAAGTTACAATAACAGCATCGACCTCACAAACCTGTCCAACAATTAAAATAATAAGAGAAACATGTTTATAATGTAAAATCAGCAAGAACAATTTCTATTAACACACATCAACGCACACACCCGCCCCCGTGCTACTTACTTTGTTATGTCCCAAAATTCTCATAAGAGTTCTACTTGCTACCACGCCATGCCTCATGCATCAACAATCTCATAACAGTCCAATATGCAATACACCAAAATGATCATATGTAAAAGCCAATCAATCTAAAATAGTCCAACATGATCCAACAGCTCCAGCAGGCATCGTTCACAGAAAAAGCACAATCAACCACTTAACCAAAATATAATTGATAAATACTCAGCATACATCAAACACAACCGATTTCTCATAAATATTCAATACACTTTCGAAACAACAGATTATAGTACCGGTATACAAATTTCATCATTAAAACCAATTAGAACATAATAGCAATTCAATGATAGTCATCCAGGATTACCTGGCTACAATTTATTCACACAACCACATACTTTTCCCAAGATATATCAACAGTTTTATCAACAACGACGTTTACTAAATGATAACAACGACAAGCGACATGCAAGTATCACACATGGGCACACGAGAAAACAACCATATCATATCAGCACACAACAACCAATCCCTCCAGTAAGAACTACTTACAACAAAGTTCTAATGTGCTACCAAGTTCACCGAAGGGTTCCTAAATCCAAAAGCAAACCAAACTTGATTAGAGTTCATGTTAGAAACACTTAGTTTGCATCGAAAGTGAGTTTAGATGATCCGTTACCTACTATCTCACCATAAAACCTCTTGGGTAAGGAGTGGGTCCACACCGAGGAGGTTCGGGCATCCAAAACTGAGTTCGAATGTCCTTATGCTTGCTGTTCCGATGTCAAAAGCGATGGGTAATGCTGGCTTGAGTCTAAACAGGGGTGGGTACAGTGAATCGAACTCCGGACAGGTGTGGGTAAGCGTCTAAAGTCGTCGAGGGGAAGCAAAGGCCACAGA